ATATATATATATATATAAAACTATCTTGTTGATAAAAAAAAGAGAGTATACATGTCATACAATTTTAAAATATACCAAAATATTTCCCTCTGTTTCTAAAATAGCTGAAATTATGTATATTTAAGCTACTTTGTCAATAGTATTTTACATGAAATAGGGAATATCATTATCCATACAAAAAAACAAAATTAGTTTAAAATTCTTTTTTCTCCCCATTTTTTAAAGGATATTAAATAGTAAGAAGAAGAAAATTTTCAGAATAATATATGCATATTGATTCCTTCCACTTTTGCCGCAACTATCACAGTTAATCAACTTCCAACCAACAACTAAAATTTTCTGCTAATTAAATTCATTTAATCTTTTCACATTTCCACACTTTATAATTCAGAATACCCGATCGACCTCTTATTTTAAAAAATGTTTGCAACACAATTATAGTAATTAATTATAGAAGAGAAATTACATCAAATTATTGATCTTGTATTTGCTAACCCACTAAGTAGCACTTTGAAAAAGAATTAGAATCTTTGTTTCCAATCTCGACACTTGGCCCCATCAATTGACCAACGCTTGTTTCAATAACGTCCTTGTGTATCACACACTTCCCCTTTTACATTTACTTATCTACTATAAATTTTTCATACACTTTAAGAAATAATAAATAAAGTGTATAATTTATCATGATATTCATAATTATTGATGTATATTTTTATTGAATTTGAGAAAATAATTTGAAATGAGTAATTAATATTGTGGGTATAACAGAAAAAAGAAATTGTCTTTTCTTAATATGCTAAGAGTGACAAGTAAAAATGAAAATCTATTTTTAAAATATTGGAAAAATAAAAGAGAACGGAGAGAGTATATAAAACTACAGTATATTTCATCTCTATAAAGCTCTTATTTTATACGTACTTGATTGTTATTTTACGTTTGGTTATTTTCATTTACAAGAATTTCACATTTATAGCGGCAATATACTTGCAAAGAAAAGAGGAAATAAATTATGGGTAGATGGAGAATTTTTTATAGCAATATTAAAAGAGGATTTAAAATATCTCGTCTTTCCATATTTGATTCATTCGGCGAGGGATCTTATTAGAAAATTTAATCCCATGTTTGATCCGTTTTAGATAACTTAACTCATAAGGGTGAGCTTAACAATCCTTTACTCATGATTTTAAGTAGTTTTATTAGGGAAAACGGGCAAGAAAGCTAATTGAGTTGAAGGATTAATATTAACTACTATGTATTTAGATTAAGGCGTCGTTTGTTTTCTTAAATTATAATGTCTAAGTTTTACTACATGCATGACTACTAAAATGTTATCTCCAAATTTGAACAATGATTAGTAGTGGAAGTGGTTGATAATGGTGATTTTGCGTGGCGACACTTATCTTTTTCTTAAAAGCTTGACAAAACACTTTAATTTTTTAAAAACTTATTAGTAAGTATTATGCATTTCCGTCTCAACTTAATATTCGCCTACTAATTAGTAAGTATTTCCTTAAATCAAGCAATTCAAACTATAGTACTTAACTTATCGGATCAAAACAGCTCTATTACGTCACACTATCCCATTACAGTTGCTCCAAAAATCTCGAAACTAACAGTAAGTGCTGTCTTCAAATTCAAATTGGAAAAGTAGTACTCCACATAAAAAGAAAGAAAAAGGAAAAGGCGCAGTCAATGGGATTGTGTCAAGGGCTAAAATTGGAAAACATCATTAATGCCCCCATTAATTTAGTTTTGCAAAACTGGCCAATTGGCTCAAAATAGTGTCAAACCATGCACGCGCATGACTTCCCTTTATAAGCTTCATTTTCTCCCCTCTTTCTCTTCACATTCACATTTAAGCTTCTCTTTGGCGTGGCTTCCTATTCTCATTGCTTCACTTTTCTCTTTTCTCACAATCCCTTCTTCTTCATCTCTTCCTATTCTCATTTCCCTTTTTTTTTTTAAAGACAATGTATAAAATGGAGAAGGAAAAGTTGTCAAGGAAACATTACAAAAACCCTTCATTTTCATCCTCACTTCTTGATGAAATTTACCGTTCAATTGATGGTTATGACCAAAGAAAGGAAGTTTCAAAGTTACCAAAAGAAACCAAAAAATACAGCAACAGAAGCAATGAAATAGCTAAAGCAAAAGCCAACAACAACAACAAGAGTATAGAAGATGAAGAAATTGCAAGTTTTAGAAGGGCATGTTTGATTGAAAAATGGATGGAGAAAAAAGTGAAAGACAAAATTTTGATGACAAAAAAAGGACCTTCACTTCCTGATTTATTAGATAATGATCCACTCTTTTTCAGTTCAACAAGTTCTTCTGAATCCAATTCTGGTACTCTCTCTACAACTTCCTCTGAAGCTGACTGTTTTTACTCTGAAAAATTCTCAAGAAATACTACTTCTACTACTTGTTTTGCTGCGCCAAAGAGTAAAAAATCAGTGAGAAGAGCCAGTGTTTCACCACGTTTAGAACGTAGGTGTCAAAATCCACTGTACACTACTGAACAAAGTCATGAGATTTATTTATTTGACGACTATCACAGTCAAAAAACAGAGGAAAATGAGGAGAGTTTGATTAAGTCTAAATCAAGGGCTTTGAAAATCTACAACAATTTGAAGAAAGTGAAACAGCCCATTTCCCCTGGTGGTCGTCTTACTAATTTTCTCAGTTCCATTTTCAATAATGGGAATGGGAAAAAATCCAAGAATCTTGCTAATATTGAGAGGAATGCAAAATCTGCTCGAGCAGCTTCATCAACTTGTTCTTCAGCTTCATCATTTTCAAGATCCTGTTTGAGTTCTAAAACCACATCAAATTTAACGCAAAAATTCCAAAATGGTGTAAAAAGGACAGTGAGATTTAACCCAGTTAGTGTAATTGTTGATGAAGATTGTCGTCCTTGTGGTCATAAATGCATATATGACCAAGAATCTGATAATTTTCAAAAGCTCAAATCCCAAGGAAATGCAGCAATAATTGAGAAGAACAGGAAATTTGAAGTGACAAAAGTTGATTCCTTGAAAAGTTATCAACATATTAAGAAGAAGAATGATTACATTGTTGATTATACAGAGGAAGAAGATTTTGAAGAAGAAGATGAAGATGCAGCAAGTGATTCAAGTTCAGATTTGTTTGAAATTGATCATTTAGCATTTTTTGGTAACAATAGGTTTTGTGAAGAGCTTCCTGTGTATGAAACTACTCATCTTGATACCAATAGAGGAATTGCAAATCGTTTCATTCGTTAATTAGCCGTAGAATTATGAGAAATTTGAGACAATGTTATTTAGTAAGAAAGTTTCCTTTTTCTTTTTGGTATAGATCAATTTTCTTTCAATAAATCAACTTTATTATCTATTCTGTCTTTTTTAGCAGTACATCTGAAATTTTTGATCTATAATTGAAATATATACTTTTTTTTTAGTTTAATTCTATATATGAAGGGGAGCCTTTGAGAATAGTTAAAGTTGTTTAGGTCTAGTTCCGGTTCGAGCCGTAAAATCATCCAGCTAGACTGTTTACATTACACTCCCTGACGGACATTCCATTTTCTACTAATGATGTATAAATTTCTTATACCATAGAGAAAAAATTATCCTATAATAGCACATAACAAGCTTGATATGTTAACTTGAAAAATATAGTATAACCTGTTTGTTATAGTTAATTAAACTGATTGATGGTTGTAAAAATCTTGGACAGTGTATGTAATTAAAATTTTCATATTCTTTCAGTAGTTGAGAAAAGTTAAAGGGGGGTGTGAACAAAGGCCAATGTTGAAAAAGAAGAGAAGGGGGTGATTGGGAGGATCCCTAAGCAAGGCAAGATAGTGACAGATTTTGATAAAACAGAGGAAAAAATAAAGAAAGATATTGGAAAAAGGAAAAGAAAGGAAAGGGAAAAAAATGAAGATTCGAGATCGAAATTAGAAGAAATAGATCCTTAGGGTGATGGCAAAGGGAAAGGCAGATCTTCGTCCCATAGGAATAGGGGAAAGTTAAAGGGTTTTGCTTTCTTTTTGTTTTTTCCTCTCTGGAAAATTGGAATTTTTGTTTTGTTTGGTATATTTGCTTCAACTTGGTGTTCTGAGTCCATTTCTTCAAATACAAATCCCTATGTCCAAGAAAAGTTGCACTTGTTTGGTTACTGTGTTTACACTTCCTAGCCACTTTTCTTTTTTAGTTTCTTTTTCTTTTACATTCCTCAAAACTAATTACATAAAGATAGAACTAAAGCTTTGAATTCTTTTTAAAAATGCGAAATAGGGAGAAAAGTTTAGAATTCATAACTTTTGTTCGTTTCTTGATTTTTTGATCAATTTTGTCCTCTTTGTAAAATTCTGTGGTCCTTTGAGAAATTTTTCTATAAAAGAAAAGAGACTTGGCTTCTCAAACATTATTATCCGAATTTAGGGACCATGTCAATGTTCTTTAATTTAATTAATTTATCAATCAACAAAATCATTTTGAAGGTAACATGTGCTATACATTCAAGGCATTTATAAATATGAGATGATAAAAGAAATACATCATTAAAAAAAGATAAAACAAGTTATTTCTAATTAAGTAGTGAGATTTGGCTCAAGATTGCCCATTTTTTGTTATGAGAATGAGGAAGTTAATCATGATATCAATTATACATTTTCTCATAAACATATTTTGAAATAAAACAAAATATTTTCTCTTTTTTTTTTCTTTCTTTCTTTAATTTGTAAAAGATCTCATGTACTTAATAGGTAAGCTTAACCTATGTTTGTAACTATTTTTTTTCCTAATTGCCTCCTCCTATATACCAGTAACCCCCTCTCTCTATATATATATATATGATGAAGCCAATGAAAAATGATACTCTAGCTAGTACTTTTAAAGTGAGTAAAATCGAACTTTAATTTCCTTTTATGAAAGAATCTTTAAGTGGTCTTCTCAACTCTTCATTGCTAGCATCGTTCATCATTATAATTATCATCTCCCTTTGTCCAAAATAATGAGTGAATCAAATATTCATATTTATCATAAATTTTCTAATAATTCACTACCACTTGATCATTTTACACCTTAATAATCCAGAAGAAACATACGCCTAGTAATTAATTATTAGATTAGTATTCAACCGTGCCCTTAGACATTTGAAACAAAGCAAAAAATAATACTAATCAACAGGGAAAGAGAAGGTAGATTAAATGATAAGGGCTACGTGACGAGCATGCAAATTAGCCTGTCGCCCTAAATTAATAACTTAAGTACCTCACGCTTAGTTGGAATCTTTCTAGTCAAAATCCAACATGATAAAATGATTAGAGAAATGTGCATTGTTATAAGAAAAGATGTAGATTTGTAACTAAGTTCAATTTATTAAATTAAACGGATCAAGAATATAATGAGCTACATGAAATATTCTAAGGAAGTCCTATAGTATATAATTATTGAGTTGGTACAGGTTTTTGTTCTTTCTTGCATAGAAGCTATAGTTGTATAAGTTAGGAAGTTAGTGGCTCATTAATTTAGATGATTCCTCTTAGCTTCCTATGGTTGGTGAGTGGGGAAGTTGCCAGCAATTATGAGAAGAATAATGTTTGAAGACTAGAAAGAATGTAAAAGAGTTTAATAAAGAAAACCAAAACTACATGCATATAACAATTGACCAACTAATAAAGCAAACCTGCTATCTAGTAGTAATTAGTATGTCAAGTCAATTTTATCATTACGTTATCGCCTATATTTGTTATCAAATTATTACATAAATTGATTTTTGTGAGAGTGAATATCTGTTTTCTTTGTTGGTTTCGTTTCTTTCTAAGCTTAAAGTCAGCCACCAGCTTCTGCCATCCCATTTTGCTGCTGCAACCACCAAATTCTTTAGCCAGGCCCAGGCCGGCCCACGCGCCAAGCCCGACCCACTTGACATTCCCATTTGCATTTATACCCAATTTTTAGGTCATCATTAAACTTATACCCACTTTGCAAAAAAAATTATAAGTCTACCTAATTTTCGGATAACTTGAGACATAGAAGAGGTCTGCAGTAACAAAAATTTATGTATGCAGGTCCAAGGATTTCAGTCAAATGACTTTAAATCAACAAATCTGAATTTGCAGTTCATGCTGCCTTTCATTTTTCTAGTGGATGAATTTACAATTTGTGCTCAAACAGATACTAAATTCTGATAATCTAGAGATTCTCATAAAAATGCAAAAAACAACCATAAACCCTTTCTGCACTAATTAAAAGACCAAAAAAATAGCTTTACATTGATCTGTGCAAAAAAAGGAAAAAAAGAGAAAGAAGAAAGACATAATCGAGAGAAGCAGATCTGTCCCAAAAAGGAATAAAAAAGAAAGAAGGAAGAAAAAACCAACGCATAACATGAAACTGGAAGACAATGGTTGAAAGTTGATATATAGGGAAGAAGTAGAAGAATAAGCGTGAAATTTTGTTTGAAGTTCTCCAATATTGGGTACATATTAAATATTTGGATAAAGGGTCAAATATACCCTTATACTTTCGAATATTATCTATATTTAACCTCCGTTATACTATCTTATCAAATTTATCCCTACCTTTATACTATCTAGCCAAATTTACCCATATCATCAACAAACATTTTAAAAATTATCCCTTGATCTGTTAAGAAATCCAAAATTTTCTAAATTCCTTTTATTTAAATCACTTGTTGTTCTTCCTGCTCCATTATTTTCAGAAATTACTATTGATGTGAAGGCTAAAGTTACTAGACTATACAAATTATTCATAATTTTTGTTTAATTACCAATGCACCAACTTCTCTTCTTGTAATAATGGGTTTGGAGTTGGTTTAAAATTTTATTTATTTTTCAATCATATACACACTGTAGAATTCAGTGGGTCTATTTATTGTGTATTATATTGTCACGACCCGAAATTCCCACCTTCGGGACCGTGATGACGCCTAACATTTCACTTACTAGGCAAGACAACGTAAGAATATAATTAGCTATTTTTTAAAAAAATAAAAAATAATTAATAACAAGAAAACAAATGCGAAAATAAAGTCTGAAATAAAGTGAATATTCCATAATAATCGCGATATCTAAATACCATCCCAGAACTGGAGTCACAAGAGCACGAACTTCTAGAATAATACAAATAAATGTCTCAAATAAATTCAAGCTGTTTGAAATATAATACACAACTGAGATAAGATAGAATGAGACTTCAGAACTGCGAACGCTGTGCAGTTATACCTCAAGTCTCCACTGGTAGCTGTATCCGGGCAAATCTACAGTACGCCGTTGGGACCAACTCCGAAATCTGCACAAGAAGTGAAGAGTGTAGTATCAGTACAACCGACCCCATGTACTGGTAAGTGCCGAGCCTAACCTCAACGAAGTAGTGACGAGGCTAAGGCAGGTCATTTACATTAACCTCTACGCAATAATAATAATAACAACAATAATAAAAATATATCAGGTAACTCATTTTAACAGTTGAAGTCAACTCGACAGTCATAAACAATTATTATTTCAATCAATTTTCGTTGCGACGTGCAACCCGCCCCAACAATATAATTCCTCAATAAATTTCCGTTGCGGCGTGCAACCCGCTCCAACAATATAAACTTTAAATAAATCTGTTGCGGCGTGCAACCCGATCCCCCAATATAAACTTTAAATAACTCTATTGCGGCGTGCAACCCGATCCCCCAATATATTTATTTTTATTTCCGTTGCAACGTGCAACCCGATCCCCCCATATATTTTAACAACTCTTAAATGTAATAAAAATACTCCAATAAGCACCACGTTCAATGAGAAACAATTAAGCATCAAGGCATACAATAATTATAATTTATTTATGAAATAAACAATGACAAGTAGCAATTAATTGTAAAAATCAGGGAGAAAATATGCAGTCTAATATTTAATATGATAAATGTCAAGTAGCAATTAAGACACATAAATTAAATAAGCATGTGACAATTATTGCAGGAATTCAAGAATTAATATTTGACAAGGAATATGAGAGAAACAATTATTATAACAATTAATTCGTGTCTTAAATAATTTAAGATGTTTAAATAATTAAGCAAACAATTAATTTGACAAAGTATAGGCACTCGTCACCTTGCCTATACATCGTTACACATGAAATTCACATAGCAAATAATTCAACGGTTCTATTCCCTCAAGTCAAGGTTAACCACGACACTTACCCCGCTTTGCAACCAAATTCAAGAATCCAATAAACCTTTGCCTCGCGAATTCGTGTCCGAA